GGCAACATAATAAAATTGGCACTGAATGAGCACAATTCCATCTGTTAATACAGAATTGTGGGAAAAAATGGTGTTGTTAAGTCATAGTTTTTCGCATCGGCCACCACTGATAATGGTCGCATAACTTTTTCATTGCCGACAACAACTAGCTTGCCTGTGAAGTTGCACTCAGCTCAACCTTGCAGGCGCAACGGCAGTCAATGCCTGGGACAGATTATGAGTCGGTGATAAATATTCACAGATTCCGTAACGTAGTCCAAGGTCGTTAGCTCAAAAAGGAGCTTTTGACACTCTTTACAGTACCAAATTATCTCGGGACACTCCCCAACCGACGCAGCTCCACAGTTTCTATAGAAATTTATGCCCTTTCACCTCAAGTAGAGTTCCAATCAAAATACAATCAGTGAGTTTTTCATGCCTCTCAGAATCCCTTTCTACTTTCTTTATGCGTAGATTATGGAGAACTTTCTGAAATACCAGCGTGCGCTCGAGGTCTTCGACAACTATCGGAGGAGTCTCAGTCAGATACAGCTTCATCAACGAAAGTTCTCTTTTTCGCACCATGAGGCCTTTGGCTTGACGAAGGAAGAGTTCCATGATTTGATGGACTTTTACAAAGTACCAAAATGTAAACAACACGGGTCAAAAGCTTTGTCTATTTCCGTGCCGTACGCGGAGGAGGGAGGACGTATAAAGAAGACCATTTTTCTGTTCACTGCACCAAGAGAGGAGAAGTATGACGTTCTCGTGGCTGAGGTGTCCTCTTCGATTGGCTACAACTGGAGAGGGTAACCGTTTAAAAGTGACACGTTGTTATTGTTTTATTTCCGCTTTCTGTGTTATGAATTATGCAATGAACAAAACTGTTTCATTTTGTTTTCCTTTTCAGCGAGCATTGTCTTTGCTTTTTTTTCTTGCAGGATTGGTCTTATTGTGATCTGCTCACTTTTGGTGTGCGTAGCACTGTATATGATTAAACCTCGCGAAGGAATCATTGCTGCTGTAGTTTGCATTATCATGTGTGCGACAGCGGCCATTAAAGACCGTGACTCCGTCGACTTCGAAGACATCACCACCGGGTTTATGATCCGGCAACTGATAGATGCGAATAGTCTGATTGCTGATAGAGGAAAATTCACATTTGTTCACGGCCAAAATCATACTGTTCTCGAAGAGTCAGCAAACGTCTCAGGAACTGAACGAACCCTACCGCAATGACCTGGAATATCTCAAAAAGAGAATCAGGAGGATCCACTGGAATAAATGATTTCCAAAATTTTCTAAGGGAAAACGGAATGAGGTCACGTGGAGCCGCAATGTCAAAGGAGCGAACACTAAATTTTAGGTAGAATGAATTTAGTAGAATAAGTTAGCAGATGAGAGAAAGAATAAAGATTTCAGAGCACAAAAACGCATTATGTTGTGATTATATAATTTAGTATTATCTACTGAGTTGATAACGTAAATTGGCCACCGTAAAGAGTTTCGAAGCTGACGTTTCGAGCGTTAGTTACTTTCTCACCAACACAGCACTAGAGTTTCTTTAAAAACTTTCCCTCTTTATTCTGTTGTAATTTGCTTCACTCTAGTTCCCAGAGCCATGTTATTAACACAACTGCGCAGTAGGCCCTGGAATAATGCAAACAACCCCCGTTCCCAGGGTCTTTCCTCGTCTCTTTCGCTTCAAAGGAAGGGAGGAAGAGAGACCCTAAGAACGAGGTTGTAATCTAAAACGAATTTTTTAAAGAAATGCCGGGAGTAAACTCGGATCGCATTGGCTTCTTGATTGACTATAAGGTGGTCTACAACAATTTATGAGGGTTGTCAGACGCTTTGGATAGTATGATCACTGGTACTTATTGCTAGGAAAACAAACAGCTAATACAGAGTAAAAACCATCAGGCAAGGCAATGGGTGTTTTCTTAACATGCTCTTGTAGGAAGGAGTTCAAAACAAGGGGCCGTTCGGCTGTAAAAGGAGTGGGCTCTAATTCTTCGGAAACGTGCTACTTTGATGTTGTCAAGCAGACAAAATAATTTCCACTACTCAAGATGACCTTTATTTCCGAACTATCTCTCTTGACTAAGGTTAAGACCAGGATAACAAAGTGAAGCGATGACATGCCCCTGTATAAGCAGAAAAATGTTAAACAGATATAAAATAAAAGTTAAGGAAAATAAGTGATATACATTCTAAGTTCTCTTGTTCCTTTAGGGAATCGTACATGTAGAGCCAACATGTTGATCAGCCACAGGCTGAGGTGCTTTGGGTTGGGATTATATGCGTTAGTATCCTCGTTAATATCCTTAGGTGGGCTGCTCATCACGGACACGTGGTTATTGTGGATAAAGGCAATTTCCCTTCTGGAAGTGACAATCAGATTATTTGCGTCGATGAGCTGCCGCATTATGTAACCAACGGTGACGTCTTTAAAGTTGTGGTGACTTTTCTCATAAACCACCTTGCCTGCGATAGTTTTGGGGAATCACACTCTGACAGGCCACGGAGCTTTGATCTGCCAATGTCTACAATCTTTTTCCCACAGAGTAATTTATAGCAAAACCCAGATAGACGATACTATACATGAGCACTGAGATTATTATTTGTCTGGAGGTCTATGAAAGTTGAAAAGGAGGAGGTAAAATACACTGAGCGGTTATAAGAATTGGGTATGTCGATAGGATAAAAGAAAAGTATTCCTAATATTGTTTGCTACAAAAATTTGGGTTAAAACTTCTCTTTTTTGTCCCTTACAGGCTGGCAGTTGCTACTGGTACCTCGATCGGCTCTTGTGTCAGGTGCACACTTTGTTTACTCAACCCTGTCGAAAGGGCTTACTTCCGGCGTAGTTTGCACAATCTGGAAAAACAATCTGGGCCGCCGAATGATTAAAACTCAATTTTTTTTTTATACACACGCATTTTGAAGGACAGACGTGCAGATGACAACTGTTGACAAATCTTTGTTTCTTAATGACATGAAACATATAGATTCTATGTTGCCGTGGGTTTTTCAGCAGTAGATCACAGAAGTCGTAAAAATGTTTTAAGAACACCAGTTACACACTCGGCTGCGAATCATGTGCCACCCGTGTTGTAGTCGAAGTAAAAGACTTCCCTTTCCATACAAGCACCGTTTAAAACTCCGCTGACAGTCCCTTATGCGTACAACAGTTCGAAGCCTCAACATCCCACCCGTAGCAATCCCCTTGGCATTTAACCTTTGAAACGAAATTGGATTGCCCTCCCAAGCCAAAAATGCTCCACCCAAAATTGAACGATTCTTTGTGTGATCAACGAATTTTGTAAAACTAAGCTCAGCCACTTATTAGATTTTGGTGCTGCTGTTGTGTTTTTCGCTTGTGAATATCATTCTACGCCTTGGAAATTGTCCTTTTAAACCATTCGCTCACGAAAGCAGACCCCTCACCCGTTTAAAATCCTCTACAAAGACACGCGTATTTATACGCTGGAAATACTTGATAAATTTTGTTTAAATGTCCCTCAACACCTACGTTAGCTTCAATTGACCCATTCCCAATTGCCCCATCCCCAATTGCCTCATCCCCAAGCCGTAGCTTGATTGGGGGAATGGTGGAAAAAGCATCTTAATAACGATATCATCTTTGCTCGTAGCTTTCTCAGTTGCACTTACTTGCCAACGTTTGCTCGTTCTCCTTTACCTGCTTAATTCGTTTAAGGCTACTGGTTTTTCCCATCTAGTATTATTTGCGGGAACAAGTTCAATTATATATTTCCATGCAACTGTCTTAGAAAAATCTAAGCTTGCGGGCAAAATGGTTTACTCTAATTTGCGAAACGAAACAATTGGGGAAATTTCAGTGTAATCAGCGAAATGAGAAAGACGTTATGGGAATCGATCCACGTACTGTTTTTTGTAAATCGAAAGAAGAATAAACATACCATGTTCTTATAGCTGATGTTACTATGCGGAAAGGACTGAACCAAACAAGGTTCTTTGATTTTTTTGTTCGGCAGACCACATTTTGACAATGAATATTTTCCACAGAGCGATTTTTGGCAAAACAAAGGCTGACAATACTATGCATAAGCAGCTCATTATTTGTTTTCTGATGGGGTCAGTGAAAAGTGATGAGGAAGGCGTAAAATACACTGAATAGTTGTAGGGATTGGGTTTGTCGATAATTATCAACAACTTAACTCGGCTATGAAATAGTTTGTTTTACATCACAGCTTCAGCCAGTGCGAATGCAGATCACTTCGCCTCATTTCCATATCGATTCCCACCTAAGTTACGTCGCCCCTAATTGTGGTCACTGAAGCTGTTGATTACCTGTCAGAAGCTACTAACATTTCAAAGAAGGCCGAGGCTAATTTCGCGGAGCGACGTAACCACACTTGAGGGCGAAGTCACTAGGCCAGAGATGTTGTGACTAATGGCGACGTAGAAGTTATCAATGACGCTAACTTGAGGCAAAGTCTCCCGAAGTATTAGTTGTTGTTGTTGTTATTTTTTCTTTGAAGTAATTCGCAAGTCTACTTTCAGTTACTAACTCACCGTACCTCCAACCGGTCTCCTTTAATTAATTTGGAATGGGAGTTCGCAATTATCTACTCTGTTGACAAGGTTCAAAAGAGGGTCTAAATGGGGTAAAACGTTAGCCGTTGGGCGTAAAAATTGATGAGTTTTTACCGTTAGTCGTAAAAAAGTTGACCGTAAAATTGTTTTTCTTTTAATCACATAGGAAGGAAATTAACCGTTAGCCGTACAACGGCCAGAATTTTAACTGTTAGCCGTAACAGCCATCGTCCCATTGAGACCCACAGACAAGTGTTTATGCCACTGGAAATGAAGTCTCTTAATTCGTAAATCACCGAATAATTTGTAGTTCTATTCTTGTGAAGGCTCAGTAGAAAATTTGATGATACAAGGAATTACACTCAAAGCAGTAGTCTCGTGTTCTTTGCAGAATTTTTCAGGTTCTCGTTCTCATAAGCGTCCTGTGCACGCCACAAATTGGTTAAAACTTGGGATTCCTGTGATATCAACGTGCCACTTGACCAATAGCCAACCCCATTATGTAAGATCAATGTAAAGTCTCCTCATTCCACATTCACAGCAGAACTTGGCATTTTCCACAGGGTACTTTGTACCGCACTCATGGCAGAATTTTGACAGCTTTTTCCCCGCGCTCCCTTCTCTTTGTCCTCTTCTGGCAGAGTGGGATGCAGTCTCTTGCAGTCTCTCTCGAGACGAGACAGGGGTGTGATCCATTGGCGGCGAGGGACTGTTACTGTCGAACCCAAAATCATCAAAGAGTGTCGGGCTTGGATCTCGTAACGCGATATGCCTGGCAAAAAAAAAAAATTTGACATGCAAATACAACACAATTTATCTGGTGAACCTGGTAAAAAATCAGACTCACACCTGTTTCTTTGGCCTGATGAAGATGATGACGAGATTCTATCAGAAACGTCTGAGTAGTCTGAGGTAGGTCGTGAATACCTTGAACCTGATCCACCCCTCCCCCCTGGGTTATCTGTATTCCCATTTGATTGGCTTGATCGGCGGCCATATCTGGCTTCCCTGATCTGAGTGGCAGGCGATGTTTCTTCATCAGAATCGAACAAATGTTGATTCCTTTCACTGCTTCTTGCTCTGCCAGAATATGTTCCTTGGTAAAGATTTTGCACAAAAAGATGTAAGTGATCGAAGCAGGGGATACACGAGGCAAAGAGTCATGCCAACATATTTCTAAGACAAGAGACAGTTACAAAGCACTTTGTGTGAGATGGAAAACTTTTGTGAATATCTTGGTCTCCAGGACAGAGTTTTGACCTTAACTCCCAAGATCTGATTGTCAACTCTCCCTTCCAGCAGCTGCATATTTCCTTATAGATTAGTTACAAGAATTTGTTGTTGGATATACCTGATAAGTTGAAGTATTCTCATTACCTGTTTGCTGGTTAATGTATGAATTTTTGAGGGAGAAGTTACATGTTAATCACTTCAGTTGCACAAATTCAAACTGGTTTGAATTCAATATTAAAACCACAGAAAATGGGTAAAAAAGACTTTTTCTGAAGACAATGAAAACAAATGATTTGTCACAGTAATGTTTCTTAATACTCTTTTTTTCTGATTAAACAATATTCACCATTCATATCTTTATTCCTCTGCTGCGACGATGAGCTGTGTCCTTTCTGTGTTGACATTGGGCTTGCATTTGGCACCTGTTTTCTTCTGGAACTAGGAGAGGCAAGGGGTTGTCGGCTGCCATAAGCTGGAAATTAGGGAAAATTTTTCCAGATGAATGCTGCTTTATCATGGAGGGAAACATTGTGCAAAAACTTTCCAGGCTCAAAGTTTACATCCTCAAGCAATCTGAACTCACTCATTTTTCCTTACCAGAGCTTTGACCAGGAGAAGAGAAATCCAGATCTGATTTTGTTTTTGCTGAAGCAACTTGTCTGGTTTTTCCTGCTGATGATACAGTTGTTGCAGAGCCAGTAGATGTCCTCTTTCCAGGTAATGGAGGTTTATACTGTTTTGAGAAATAGAAACAATCACTTTAATGTTGAACACGCTAAATTAAAAGTAAATCTTTAAGAAGAGTGGCTGATCATAAAATTTTTCACAGTCTGAAAGCCACTTGTTTGTCACTCAAAGAAAGCCATAGTTTGCTGACAGGTATGTCACACAAGGAAAGCAACAGCATCTTTGGCTCTCTTTTCTAGGTCTCTCATCTCTGCATCCAAACTTGTTACTGGACACCTTAATCTCCCAAGTTATTCTTGGCAGTATATGGCAGTCAGCAGCTGCCTTTCCAAACACCTACATAATTTGGAAAGCTGCAAAACTCTTGAACAAATCGGTACTCTTAATCTCCACATTATTAACAAAAGCTTCTCTATTAATTTTTCTTGTTTTTTTCTCTACCATGTTCCCACCAATAGCATAGCTCCATTTTCCTGTTCATAAACACCCCCATCATACAACTCCTCTATTAGCTTGGACAAAGGGCCAAAGCTGAAAATGGTCAGCTTTAGAAATTCTTTACTTACTTTGGCCAAGTTACACTATCAACTCACATGATTACACCAAATTATCTTGTTACACCCTCCACCGCCACTATACTAAAGTTTCTTTAGAAACTTACCCACTTTAGTATTGACTTAAAGAGCCCAGTACGCTTGTATTGGTTAACTATGACAAATTCTATGCAAAATAATTTTAACTAAGTACAGGCGTGCACTGGAGTAACCCACTTGCCTGTGTACGTTTTGCTAAACTTCCTGATTTTGCTGAAGATGAATTGGCTAAACGACTCTTCTGCTCTTTACAAAATGGTATGTGCCTCTCAGCAGCATGTTCATTAAATCGCCGGCTGCAGTGTGGACACTGTACATAATCTGGGTTTGCAGCTGGCGGAGGAGGAGGTGGGAGAGGACCCCCTGTCTTCTGGGCACTAGCCACGCCCCTAGCAGCTCTGAGATTGTTGACAAATTCTTCATGCTTTTCTCTCCAATTTGACTGGGTGAAAAGAGAAAATTCGTTCTCTGAGACGATACTTGTAGTTCATAATTTACCTGATTAACCCTTTAATTCCCAGAAGTAATTCACATCTTACTTCTCCCAGCAATATCCATACATTATCCAGCAAACAGGTAATGAGAATACTCAAAGATATCAAGTAGAAGTTGTTTTCTTGATCTAACACCAAATTCTTGTAACTAATTTGAAAGGAAACATGTTGTAGCTGCAGGGGAGAATTGACTATCAGATCTTGTGAACTAAAGGGGTAATGATGGTAAAAGGTCTGAGGAGTCCAATTTGGTCTGTATTCATAAGAGTGATTAACAAACTCAGACAACCACAAAGAGGGAGTCTGATTTGTTAATCACAAGTATGATTACAGACAGAATTGGATAACATGAAGTCCTGTTACCAATTAGCAAAAACTATGACTAAAGTTGCAAAAGAAAATAGACATTGGTTGCACGTTTAATTAAAAAAAAAAAATGGGTAACTCAGCAAAATGTGAGACAACAGTGCACACACATGACATGTTCTGTTCACTTACACAGGGATAACATGTTAACTGTCCCCTTTGACTGTCCTATTACACTGTCCTATTAGTGCTTAAAACTGGGCTGGTGATAACCAATCACATTCAAGAATTTTGTTATAGTTTTGATAAACTTTAAAATGACTTGTACAATTTAAATGTTAGTAACAGAAATAATCAAATATTGCCATGACTATTACTGTCATGAATTTTCCTCTCTATTTTCACCATTTAGTGCAGAGACCAAACTTAATTGTTCTTAGGCACTAGAAAAATGTTTGATTTTCTCACAAGGGAGCCATACTTTGCTATATTATTTCCAAAAAACTGTACTAAGATTTTTCACTCCATTCGAAATGAAATATCTACTCATTATCGATAGAAACTGGCGTTACCTTTTTTCCTCCGGCTGCTAATTCTGACTGTGTCTTCGTTGGTTTTTTCACAAAATCTTTGGGAACATCAGAATTCCTCTGTTTAGAAGAATCAAACGGCTTTCTCTTCTTCTGCCCTTGACAAACTTTCGCATGTCGACCCTAACGAATAAAATCAATACAATCACATCAGTTAAATTGATCATCGTGACTTAAAGTAAGAATTGACTTTCCCTATCCTTCATTATGGTATCAAAATTTAAAGGAGTCATGTCTTCACAAGGATATTTTCACACTGAGTTAATTCAAAATTTGGAGGTTGATATCAAAATAATAAAATAAATTCACAGTTACAAATTCAGCCGCTGTAACAGGTTTATGACACCTACGAGCGCAGTTGGATTAAAAGTTCTTCCACACGACGAACATTCGGCGAGTCTTGTTGGAGTTCCCGTGTCACGAAAAGCTGAAAAATCAAACAGGTCATAAAAGTGTTAGAATTATCTTATGTCATTTCATCAAAGCCTATAGCAATTGCTTACCATCGATATAATCATCAAAATCTGCCATCAAACTTGTAACTATGAGCTTCGTCAACAAAAAAACGCCATCTTGAAAATGTTTGCTGTCATCCGCTGACCAAAGTATCAAGTATCGCGGAAGTGAATGTCTTGTCGCTCTCCAGGCCTGGTCGCTCCTAGGGCACAATGCTCATTTCATTGAGCCCGCAGTTCTTCCCCATCGGTAAAGTTTTCGAAATGGCGACCAAGCGTAAGTTTGCAGGGGAGAATAGCGGCGCGCTAGTTCCTGTTAAGAAGCCGAAACAGAATCAGTTAGCTTTACAAGACCAAGGAGGGGCAATTCAATCGGTATGGGTAAATATATTTCCAGTTTGCGTTTTACTTTGGCGTCATAATTGCTTGCACGTGGTTGAACTATGCTATGCTTTCAAACACTCATCATTATTTTAACTGCTGGTTGTATCTTTGATACATAGCTTCCCCAAAGAACATCAAGCCTTGAGGCTCCCATTATGTTATTAAGTGGACATGAGGTTTGTTTAGTTCTATTTCAGTTCTTTAGTTTTCTT